GAACTTGCCTGCCACACTCCTCACACCTGTAGGGTTTCTCCTCTTTGTGAGTCCGCATGTGAGTCTTCAGATCACTAAGATACCTGAATTGCTTGGCACACTCCTCACACCTGAACACTTTCACACCTTTGTCCTGCCTCCCGGTTTCCTCTCTAGACTCCTCACAGCTTTCTCCTTGCCGGGTGGAAACGGTGTCGGCAGAACCCCCTGCTGCCCCTCCTTGCCAGTTGGAAACAGTATCGGCATAACCCCCTGCTGATCCTCTAATGACGTCATCCAAACCTTCCATGCTGCCAGTTGTTGCCATGTCAACGAGAGCTGGAACAACCTCTAGTAAAAATTAAACAAGCGATCTAGTTGAGTAGGAATTCGTATAGTTGATTGTACCTCATGTCTTGATGATGATGATAGTTGAGTAGAATAGTAGTTAAGTAGTAGTTTTTATAGAAGAGTTCTATAGTATGACTGTATAGGGCATGTAAAGAAATGCTCATCATCTGTAAATGTTACTAAAACAACTAGCAGAGCTGAAACCGCTGAAACACCATAAATCAAAAGACAGGCTAACAGTGAGCTGTCTTTACTGTACGTTGTTACTGATGCTATGCAGGGTCTTTGAGAGTTACATTGCAAGAGTTAGTGAACTGTCCCTTGGCCTACATACTTTTCATGCAGTGGATTTGGGCTTCGGCTTATTTTTACGTGTTTGTAGGCGTTCGTTTTGTATATATACCTCCCATACCTAAATTGTGTATGGATACTGAACTGCCAATAATACTGTCGTGCCAATTTAGTATATAGCAAATGTTTTTTTGTGTTTCAAAAAGTTAATCACAGCCTACCATCATTAATGCACCGTCCCGTCGTTTTCACACCCTCCCGTCTGGCGTTATGGAATCCAGATGTGAGAACTGGGCGCGGCTCACGTAGGGGTTTAGAGTATACTCAGGATTGGCTTAATCTTAGATTTAAGTATTTTTTAAATACTTAAATCTAAGATTAAGCTTTCCTCATCACCAACATCAGAATCCCTTCATAAGAGCTAATAATATCATTTTTGGTCCATAAAATTGCACACTTGATTGCGAGAATGTTTTTGCTAATTTGTCATGCGACACATACATAATCTCGTAACCCCTCACCGACCCTCACTCTGTTTACGCTATCAAATTCCAGGCGGCAGCTGCTAACGTCCATAAACAATGATTTGAGAGGCAAACATTCAAACGGAGAATCCAGAAATTTCTCAGACAATTCCACATCCACACTAAGACCTTTCTTTGCATAGCTGTACTGTAACAAGTATTTGAATCTCCTTGACTGAATTATAAACAGCACGGCCCAGATCACACGCACACTGGCCCAAACGCACGCCGCCACACAAATATTATGAACCGTTGTTTGCCAACTCTACAAACCCCTGAATACCAACTACATGCCGACTTTTCCTACCCGGAAGTTAGTTGATACACAGTCCGGGCCGAGTCGCCTGTTGAATCGCTGCAAAAGTCCTCCAAAGACGGAAAACTGCTCAAGATGCCGCGTCCTTGCCGAAGGCGCGATGCCGTGACCCGGAAGTACTCCCCCGGCCAGAGGTCAAATCTCGTTACCTGATTATCCGACAAATGTACACGTGCCTTGGAGCGAAGGCTAGTAAGTTTTAGCTTGCGCCATGTTAGTTTGCTTTACTACTCGTGCAATAATGTTATACGTCTAAAGACCCCAGTAAGCCTGTAATTTTGTTTTTAAAAGACCATGATAGCTTTGTATACTGATCCTTTAAACATTAAGACATAATGCAATTAGGTGTTTACACGAAAATTTCCTCATCTTTTCAAAGCACAATATTTACCTTCGCCAAGAAGGTTATGTTTTCAGGGGCGTTCGTGTATGTGTGTGTGTGTGTGTGTGTGTGTGTGTCTGTCTGTCTGTCAACACAATAACTTGAGAAGGCCTTGATGGATTT